CTCCTCCAGAATGCACTTCTTTCTAGAGGAGACGGTAGGGACGGTTCTTCCGCGGAACGATTTTGTATTATTGCGCGAACTGCCCCTGCGCACAGCAGACCTCATCGTAAGCCCCGCCCGAGGAGGCCACGCCCCTTGAAGTAGCAAACATAATTTACACTTACATTGCAAGACGGAGGCGGTCAAGAAAATCGTGATTAGCCGCTCCCGCGCGCGGCGACGGGCGCGGCGTTTTCTTAATCTCAGCAGGCTGTCGACTGAAGCGCCGGTTTTCATGTAGACCGACATCGTAAAGATTCACTACGACACAGGAACATCTTCATTCGTGGGCGCGATGTCGCACGCGACACATACCACCTTGGGGAATTACGATTGTCATGTCACATACTCTAGCTTATAAGAACTAGTCAACACCGAGTTCTTCGTTATCCTAGCATAATAAAACCAACATTTCTACTATTATATAATGTAAACCTAATTCCTTGAATAGTTCAGTCGGATTTTGAGCTCACTGGCCAAGGATCGCTTTCAAGTGACGTTCTGGATATATCATTGTTTGACATATGTATTTGTGCATCTGCAATGAAATGGGCGCGGAAGTTGGAACAGCGGCTAATGCTGAACTCCGACCCATGGCCTTATATTAGGCACGGCACGAGGCACCTTGGCAGTCTTCCACATGAGTTACTACCGTATTCTACTTATTACTGCTGCTCTCGTCAGTAACACCGTGGCGCAGTCATGCGCAGATGGCGGAGCAGGACGTAAGATCACTCAAATCTTCTGAGCAACCCAAACTACTTTTCAAGCTTCAGGCTAAATTTCCATTGACATTGATCGAGAGTTTTGGGGCTAAATGGGTGTAATATTCTTAACTGCGCAGGTCAACCATCCCCGGGACATGATTCTAGTCGAATTAATTGTCGAAGTGCGTTTCCAGTAGGAATTTTCACCCTAATTCCAGAGGTGTGCTGTATGGGGTAAGTAGTGCTTGGGGTTGGGTCGAGTTGGAGTATCTACAGCGGGTGGAATTGAGTTCTAAGGGACAATTCCTCTGAACTCGGTAGAACATTGGGATGCGCCGTGTGCAGGAGCACCTTTCAAAACTAAGGAAACATTCCTTGACGTGTATGGCCACATACTACTAGGAATCTCGAAGTAAATG